CCCTTCGGAGTGGTAATAAACATATTTACTTTCTATTTTTTTCTTCATCCATTCCCCTCCTCTTTGCTCTGATAACCATCAATATACGTATCTTCATAAGATCCATTTTTTAGCCCCATATGTAAGCAAAAGCATGTGGTGTTTGTCTTTCTGTGCTTGGCTTATTTCACTTAACACAACAGCCTCCAGTTTCATCTTTGTTGCTGCTAATGACAGCATTTCATTACTTTTTGTGCCTGGATAATACTCCATTGTATATACATGCCACATTTTATTTATCCATTCACCTACTGATGAGCACAGGTTGATTCCATCTTTTGGCTGTTGGGAACATGCTGCAATAAAAATTAGAGTGCAGATATAGCTTTGATATATTTATTTCCTTTCTTTCGAATATATATCCAGTAGTGGAACTGCTGAATCATATAGTAGTTTTATTTTTGGTTTTGAGAAATGTGCACACTCTTCTCCATAGTGACTGTACTAATTTACATTCCCACCAACAGTATATGTGGTTCCCATTTGTCTACATTTTTGTTAGCATCTGTTATTGCCTGTATTTTTGACAAAAGCCATTTGAACTCTGGTGAGATAATATTAAATTGTCATTTTGATTTGTACTTCTCTGAGGATTAATGAGGTTGAGCATTTCCTCATCTACCTGTTGGCTATTTTTATATCTTCGTTTGAGAAATGTCTGTTCATATCCTTTTTCATTTTATAATTGGATTTTTTTTGCTATTGAGTTGTTTGAATGCTCTATATATTCTGATTATTAATCCCTTGTCAGATGTATTGTTTGCAAATATTTTCTCCCATTCTGTGTGTTGTCTCTTACCTTTACTGACTATTTGCTTTGCAGAAGGCTATTGCTTGATGTAATATGAACTGTCTACTTTTTCGTTGGTTGCCTGTGCTGTTAAGATCTTACACAGAAAAATCTTTGCCCAGACTAATGTCCTGCATGCAGTGTGTTTCCAGTGTTTTCTTCAAGTAGCTTTACAGTTTCCTGTCTTAGATATAAGTATTTAATTCATTTTTATTTTATTGTATAGTAAAAGGTAGGGTTCTAGTTTTATTCCTCCGTATTTAGTTTTCGAACTTTCTCAGCATCCTTTATTGATGTGACTTTTCTTTCCCTATTGTACGGTTTTTGTTCCTTTATGCAAGATGAGTTGGCTGTAAATGTATGAATTGATATCTGTGTTCACTATTGTGTTCAATTGCTCTTTGTGTCTGTTTTCATGCCAGTACCATGCTGACTTGGTCACCCCATCATTGTAGTATATTTTGAGATCAGGTAGTGTGATGCCTCTAGCTTTGATCTTTTTGCTCAGGATTGCCTTGACTATTCAGGGTCCTTTATGGCTCCATATAAATATTGGGATTTTTCTCTATTTCTGTGAATAATGTCATTGGTATGCTGATAGAGATTACATTGAATCTGTAAATTGCATTGGGTAGTATTGTCCTTTTAGCAATATTAGTTCTTCTAATCCATCAACATGGAATAACATCATTTTCTTGTGTCCTCTTCAATTTTTTTCATCAGTGTCATATAGTTTTTCTTTGTATAGATTTTGTACCTATTTGGGTAAATTGATAGCTAGGTGTTTTATATTCATATCTATTGTAAGTGGGATTACTTTCTTAATTTATTTTTAGATTGCTCCTGGTGTATATAAATGCTACAAATACTTTTATGTTGATTTTGTATCCTGCAACTTTATTGATTTGTTTATTAGTTCTAACAGTTTTTTGGTGAGTCGCTTGGTTTTTCTAAGTTTAAAATCATGTAGTTTGCTAATGGGGCTAATTTGACTTCTTTATTTCCAGGTAGAATGCTCTTTCTTTCTTTCTTTCTCTTGCCTGATTGCTCTGGCCAAGAATTCTAGTACTATGTTGAATACAAGTAGCAAAAGTGGGCCTCGCCGGGCGCAGTGGCTCAAGCCTGTAATCCCAGCACTTTGGGAGGCCGAGGCGGGTGGATCACGAGGTCGAGAGATCGAGACCATCCTGGTCAACATGGTGAAACCCCGTCTCTACTAAAAATACAAAAACTTAGCTGGGCATTGTGGCACATGCCTGTAATCCCAGCTACTCAGGAGGCTGAGGCAGGAGAATTGCCTGAACCCAGGAGGCGGAGGTTGCGGTGAGCTGAGATCGCGCCATTGCACTCCAGCCTGGGTAACAAGAGTGAAACTCAGTCTCAAAAAAAAAAAAAAAAAAAAAAAAAAAAAGTGGGCCTCCTTGCTTTGTTTCTGATCTTAGAGGAAAGGCCTTCACTTTTTTCCCCATTCAGTATACTATTGCGTCTGGATTGGTCAAACATAGCATTTATTATTTTGAGGTATGTTGATTGTATTCCTATATGGATTAAGGTTTTTATCTTAAGGTGATGTTGAATTTTATTGAATGTCTTTATGTTTCTATTGAGATGTTTTTGTTCTTTCTTCTGTTAATATGATGTATCACATTTATTGATTGGCGTATGTTGAACTGTTTGCATTCTTGACATGAACCCCACTTGATAATGATGAATCATTTTTGTGTGTGTATTGTTGAATTTGGTTTGCTACTATGTTGTTAATAATTTTTGAATCTGTGTTCATCAGTGATATTGGCCTAAAGTTTTCCTTTCCTGTTGTTCCCTTTGTCTGGTTTTGGTATCAAGGTAATACTGGCCTCATAGAATGAGTCTGGAAGTATTCCCTTTTTCCCTCCTTTTCAATGTTTTTGAAGAAGTTAAGTAGAAATTGTATTAGTTCATTAAACGTTAGGTAGAATGTAACAGTGAAGTCATGATGTCCTGGGCTGCTATTTGCTGGGAGATATTTTACTATGGCTTCAGTCTCTTGAATCATTATTGGTTTACTGAGGTTTTCTATTTCTTCATTGTTCAGTATTGGGAGGTTTTATATGTCCGGAAATGTACCCATTTCTTTTACATTTTTTAATATATTGGCATATAGTTGTTCATAGCAGTCACTAATAATTCTTTATATTTCTCTTGTTTCAACTGATACTCCTTCATTTCTGATTTTATTTATTTGGGTCTTCTCTGTTTTCTTCCTAGTGAGTCTAGCTATAAGCTTGTTAATTTTGTTTGTTTTATTTAAAAAAACTTGTTTTATTGATTTTCTGAGTTTTTTTAAATTCTTAGTTTTATTTATTTCTGCTCTGATTTTTTTTTTTTTTTTGAGACAGAATTTTACTCTTGTTACCCAGGCTGGAGTGCAATGGCGTGATTCGGCTCACCGCAACCTCCGCCTCTTGAGTTCAGGCAATTCTCCTGCCTCAGCCTCCTGAGTAGCTGGAATTACAGGCACGCGCCACCATGCCCAGCTAATTTTTTGTATTTTTAGTAGAGACAGAGTTTCACCATGTTGGCCAGGATGGTCTCAATCTCTTGACCTCGTGATCCACCCGCCTTGGCCTCCCAAAGTGCTGGGATTACAGGCATGAGCCACTGCACCCGGCCTCTGATTGTTATTTTCTTCAATTGATTTTGGGTTTCATCTTTTCTTGCCTTTCTAGTTCCTTGAGGTACTAATTAGGCTGTTTATCTGAAGCTTTTTCACTTTTTTTTTTGCTTTAATTAATTGATATGAACTTTCCTCCAAATATTGCTTTTGCTGTATCCCATAAATTTCAGTATGTTGTATTTCTCTTATCATTTGTTTCAAGACATTTTTAAATTTTCTTTTTAATTTCTTCACTGAGCTATTGGTCATTTAGGAGCATGTTGCTTAATTTCTATGTGTTTGTGACATTTCCAAGGTTCTTCTTATTACCAATTTCTAGTTTTATTCCACTGTGGTCAGAAAAGATATTTGATATAATTTTTACTTTTCAAAATTTGTTCAAACTTGTTTGTTTGGCCTAACATTTAGTCTATTCTGAAGAATGTTCCATGTGTCCAGGAAAAGAATGTGATTCTATAGCAGTTATGTGAAATGCTCTTTAAACATTAGTTATGCCTATTAGTTCTATGTGTAGTTTAACATTGCTGTTTCTTTGTGGATTTCCTCTAAATGAGTTGGTTTCCAGTTTAACTGAATACTTTTTCTCACCTGTTTACTTTCAATCTATGTGTGTCTTTACAGCTCTAGTGAGTTTCTTGCTTTTTATCTGTTAAACTACCCTAGGCCTTTTAATTAGAGAATAGTGTTTAATTACATTGTGTTTTTATTGATAAATAAAAACTTACTCCTGCCACTTTATTGCCTTCTTTTTGGTTGTTTTATAATTCCTCTCTTCTTTTCTTCCTTTGATACCATCTTCCATTGTGGTTAAGTGATTTTCTTTACCAGTATATTCTAATTTGCTCCTTGTTATTTTTACTGAATCTGCTATATGATTTTACATTGTGGTTACTATAAGGCTTATGAAAAACATTTTATAGATATAATGGTATTTTAAAGAGATGACAACTTATCTTAGATCATAAAAAAAGAGCAAAAAAAAACCTAAAAAAGTAATTTTACACTTTAAATCCACGACTGTATATTTTCAAATAGCTTCTCTTTGAGCTAAGTTGTCTATTTGATCCACTCAGCTATTAAAAGCCTCTAGTGAAATTTTTAGTTCAACAAATGTATTTGTCAGTTTCAAAATTTCTGTTTGATTTTGTCTGTTAACAATCTCTTTGCTATAGTTCTCTAATACATTTCTAAATTGCTTTGCTGTGTTATCATGAAGATCAGTGAGTTTCTATAAAATTACACTTTTAAATTATTGGTCTAAGAATTCACATACTGCCATCATGTTGGAATCTGCCACTGCTTTCTTGTTTTGATGATTTGGGGAGATGATGATTCCTGTTTGCTCTTGTTGCATTGAAATATTAAATTTTTTTTCTGGCATTCTCTGTCTGGCTTATTTTAGCTTTTATTGAATATACTTTTTAGATTTACTTTACAGCTATGTTGTTGCTTTTGTAAAAAAAAATTATTTTATTTTATTTTTATTTTTATTTTTTATTTTTTGTCTCTAAATGGTGCGTGTTGAAGGGCGACGGCCCAGTGCAGGGCACCATCAATTTCGAGCAGAAGGAAAGTAATGGACCAGTTAAGGTGTGGGGAAGCATTGAAGGATTGGCTGAAGGCCTGCATGGATTCCACATTCATCAGTTTGGAGATAATACACAAGGCTGTACCAGTGCAGATCCTCACTTTAATCCTCTATCCAGAAAACATGGTGGGCCAGAGGATGAAGAGAGGCATGTTGGAGACCTGGGCAATGTGACTGCTGGTAAAGACGGTGTGGCCAATGTGTCAATTGAAGACACTGGGATCTCACTCTCAGGAGACCATTCCATCATTGGCCGCACGTTGGTGGTCCATGAAAAAGCAGATGACTTGGGCAAAGGTGGAAATGAAGAAAGTACAAAGACAGGAAACGCTGGAAGTCGTTTGGCTTGTGGTGTCATTGGGATCACCCAATAAACATTCCCCTGGATGTAGTCTGAGTCCCATTAACTCATCTGTTATCCTGCTAGCTGTAGAAATGTAACCTGACATTAAACACTGTAATCTTAAAAGAAAAAAACAAAACAAACAAACAAAAAAAACATTGATTCTAGTAGTGGATCAGAGTATTTCTTTCCTTGAATAGGGCACATTCCAGTGGGAAATCTTGGCAGTGTGGGAAGGCTGATTAGGTGTTTGTGCACAGGGTACCTGTGGAGTGAACTGCCTAGGGCATGGAACTACTGAATAGACATTCTAATTTTGTATCTCCTTTGGCTAAGTTACAGAGCAGAGTTTCCACGGTTGGGGATGGTAGTCCCACATCCACCCTTCCTCTCTGGTTGTTCTCAGAGGTATTTCTCCCTTCTGGCACTTATGATGCTTCCTGTTGGTTAAGGCAGAAACACACCTCCTGTGAAAGAACTCAAGATTGTGGGGAACCTAGTTGTTCACCCTGATCTCACTTTTGCCAATGTAGACTATGAATTGGAGGAATATTTTCTATGTACTTTATGCCAGGAAGAAAAAGAAGAGGGTATTGCAAATATGAACACCCGATTCTCTTATTATCTTCTTGAAGTTTTTATTTTTTACTTTTCTCTGGCCCCAGCAACTGTCTCATGTTCATATTCGAGTTCTTGAACATTGCTGGTGGTAATCTCAATGCTGTTGTTTTTGTGTCTCTGTGCTGAAAAGGAATAAAGCCATCTTGCTTCTATCCCACCATTACAGAAGCAGAAGTCCTGACTACTTTACTTACATTTTACATTCAAACCTGTCCACAATAATCCTGATGGTCCTGACCACAGCTCTGTGTTTGCTTTTCTTACTAGTGTTTACCACCATCTCCTAACAGATAATATATTTACTTATTATGATGACTATCTCTCTTTTTCCAGGGATCACAGACTGATGTTTACATTAGTGAATTCTGAGAGTTCATGCCTATGATAAGCATTCAACATTTATTTAAGTACACAATCAATCATCCTAGGTGGATTACTAGTCTCTGCCACTCTACAGCTTCTAACCTGGTCTACTCACATTTAGCAATCTTTATGATTCATGCCTAGCCTCCTCCAAAGTACTTTTTCTTTCATAAGGGAAAGCTTTCTAAATCACATTTCTGATCCTGTTATGTGCTTTAATTAAAACACCTGTAGCCATTTAGTGTGTTAGTAAAATAACATTAAACCATTAAATTTACTTATGTGTTTTACTATTTCTTGGCCATTTTTTCTTTTCTAGCTTCGTTTTCTTATTATAGCCTTTTTTTTTCAAGCCACAGTCAAATATACTGAACATTTTTCTTTCCTAGAAAAAAATATTATCTTTATTTTTTTGTTTCTGATACTTCTCATGGGAAGATTTTTTTGCCTGGCTCTTTACTTGATTAATTATTACTGTATTTCACATTATTTTCTTTTTTCTCCAAAAGAAAACCTGTCTTGATGCAGTTCAGGTTAGCTGCTTAGCTATAGTTTACATCCTTAAAAATTTCTCAGTGAGTAAGTTGCTTGTTCAGTGAACTAATAATATCAAAGATTAGAGAGTATATGTATATTTTAAATATGAAAACATTTTATTTCATATTTTAAAATATACATATAGTCTCTATAACACATTCATTACCTAGCACAAAGTGTTCTCTCAACATGTATTTATTGACTCATTTATATGAAATTGTGTTGGCCAAAGTGTATGAGTGTATGGGTCTTGAAAATGATTTCCTTTTCTTCTTATTTTTTTTTAAATAAATCTTTTGTTTTCAATAAACCATTCTATTATGTTGTGATAGTGGTGAACCTTGTTCATGAACTACAGCTATAGAAATAAAACTCAGGGAATTTCGATCAGAATTAGCAAGAAATGTGGCTCTAGGATTAAAGACTTAAATCAGAGACTGGAAACTATGAAACTACTAGAAGAAAACATTAGGGAAATGCTTCAGGATATTTGTCTGAGTAAAATTTTATTGTGTAAAACCTCCAAAATCTTAAAAGTTGCCTCCCACTTATGGTTAACTAGAGAGTTGTAAAAGGCAGAATTCAAGGCTAATCCCCAAGTTTTATACCTGCTGCTCTACACTCCTTGTATAATCACCTCCTATATAAACTTGGATACTTTTCATCTATCTACCAAGACCTGGATTTCATATATTTATTTGATATTGTTTCTTATAATACACATTGACCTAATTTTGCATTGTATATTTTAAAACACTAAAGCGCACCATCTGATACTAAAGTTTCAAAGCATGTGATCTTAATTAACAGTGCATTGGGGATGCCTACGAAATTAAGTTCAATAAATTGTATGTTAACTGAGAAATAAGCAAAACAAATATTTGACAGAATTGCAATTTTAGTTTGACAGTCCCTCTATTAAACTGCAATTTATCACTTGCTGATGCTCTGTAGGACAGAGAACAATATCTTCAAAGATAATTTTCCCATAATATTTTAAGCTACATGATACAATTAATATACAGTATTCAAGCTAACAAAATATTTTTGAGAGCTAAACATTGTGCTTTAAACTTTAAATAACCCACATAATTTAATATTATTATCTTAAATATAAATTATACTTTTTCTTAGGTAATGTACATAACTATTTTGAAATTGAGATTCAAATCCATTCTACTCCATTAGAATAAAATATATTGGTTTAATTTCTTAATTTTATTTTTTAGAAAATTTGAATTAGTCACAGTAGTTTAAAGTAGTATCAATTTTAGCACAGTATGTTTCTCAAAATCCATCAATATTAACTTTCTGTTCCTTCAGCAAGATGTTAGCATGCAACTTCAGTATGATATCAGAAAGAGGTTTACCTTCTGAAGGATTACATTTTCTCGTAAGAATCAAAGGGAAGAACTCAATTCCATAGGACAATAGTAAGTTAAAATAATATGCATAAAGGGTTTTACAGAGTTTCAATGATACACTGAAAACAAGAGCATCAGTAGCTCTCTCACATCATGTCCTCTGTCTTCGATTTCTCTTCCTTCTTCTTCCCTTCTAGTCTAAATTAGAAGGACAGGATCAACTGATGCCAAGTGTCCAAATGCGTGTATTTGGGCCAGTCCTCTATGGAGTTATACATTATATCAAAATAACAGTAATTTTATGCAAATGTTGAAAACAAAGATATTATGCATTACCTAATGCTAAATATTAAGTCCAACATAGTTATGAAAGTAATTTTACAATAAAAATAATTATCACTACTGATTGATAATGGAAGAAGCACAGATTATTAGGAAATCTGTTACAAAGGAGTATGTATATCCTCACTAACATTTATCAAGCCTAGTTAGCCTACATATTAGAAGAAAATTGCATTTGTTTTTTATACATCATGTGAGAGATGGTGCTGTATATGTAGTAAATTCCTTGAAGTCAACACCTTAGCTACAGTTAACATGTCTTTTGAGTTTAAATAAATGAAACACAGTAAATAATAGATTTTTAAGCATATAGGTAACCTCAACCAGCACCTGAAAATATCTGGATGGCACATAGTCTTCTGGAGTTAACTTTAACTGTTATGCTACTGATTCTATCAGACTCCCAGTGGGGACTCTGTGTGGGAGCTTCAATCCCACATTTCCCTTCCATGCTGTCCTAGCAGATGTTTTCCATGACAGCCCCAATCCTGCAGCAAACTTCTGCCTGGACATCCAGACATTGCCATACATCTTCTGAAATCTAGGCAGAGGTTCCCAAACCTCACTTCTTGACTTCTGTGCAACTGCAGGCTTAAAACTACATGGAAGCTGCAAGGTTTGGGGCTTGTATCCTCTGAAGCCATGACCCAAGCTCTTAGGGATGCAGAGCACCAAGTCCTTAGGCTGCTCAGAGTAGAAGGGCCCTGGGCCTGCCCACAAAACCATTTTTTTCCTCCTAGGCCTCTAGGCTTGTGATGGGAGGGGCTGCCACAAGGTCTCTGACATGGCCTGGAGACATTTTCTATATTGTCTTGTCAATTAACATTTGGCTCCTCGTTACTCATACAAATTTCTGCAGCAGAATTGAATTTCTCCTTAGAAAAATGTGTTTTTCTTTTCTATCTTATCATCAAGCTGCAAATTTTTTGAACTTTTACGTTCTGTTTCCCTTTTAAAACTGAATGTTTTTAACAGCACCCAAGTCACTCCATGAATGCTTTGCTACTTTGAAATTTTTTCTGCCAGATACTCTAAATCATCTCCCTGAAGTTCAAAGTTCCACAAATCTCTAGAGAAGGGAAAGATGCCACCAGTCTATGGAAATATTCTATATAATGACTGACAAAACTCAACAAATGATACCTTTAAAATTAACTTTTGTTTTATGCATAGTATTTATAAATAATAATAAAGTAAAATTATACTGGCTAGAATCAATGTAGTGGAGCAGTTAACATTAGAAAATTAAATAGCTCATCTACATATTTATCATTTGTAATCAATAGGTTTATACAAAAGGACATTAATACTTCACTCATACCCAACTGCCTCTTTCCATCACTTAAAAATTATGGCTAATAATAAATCTCAATCCAAAAAAACTATTCCTCTTAATTCCCTAGGCAAATTGCTATTCATCAGAAGCCATTTAGGTGACAGAAGAGAAATGTTTAAAAGTCATTTGCCAAACAATTACAATATAGATCAAATTAGCATCCCAAAATTGATGCATAGAGTGTAGCTTCAGAAAAATTTTGTGAACACTGAAATTACAACTGGCTCACTAGTCTTCTTTCTCTCAATTATACCTTTCCAATGTCCAACACAATATAATGCACACATATTTATATAATAACTGCACAACTGCAATAGATATTGATGGCAGCATTGGCCTGTCTGGAGCAGCCACTGCAGGGGCACAAGCTGTGCTGCACACTCTGCAAAGCTGGTATGGGCTGGAAAAAAGGTGGGAGTCCTGTGCACTACCAAGTTGCCATGGCAGAAGCCCCATGCTCCCAGGTGCAGCTGCAGCCACTTAGCCATAGTACTGCATATGGGACTCTCTGCACTCTCAAGGGTCCAGAAAGCCTTCTGCCCCTCCAGTTAAGAAGTGCCTGCT